TTGACACCATAAAGAGAAAAAAAAATATAAAATTGTAAATTTCATTCATGAGTTATATCTATGAGAATACAGGTCAAATAATCAAAGTATCGTACTTTTCAATGGTCAAAACCTTAAAGATTTTGATATAAAAAGCCAAATACACAATCATATAACAAAAACTTGAAAGTGAGAAAGGTCAAGTGTTTCTCTGGAGCCTTCATTCGCTCTGCCAATAGATACAACTTAAACACAAAACACTATTAGTGAATCACATCTAATTTAAGCTGCATAACCTTATAACTCAAGTGATTAATAACGTTTAATTCTGCAGTTTTCTAGCTACCGTTTATTCAACTTGAAAGTTACAACTGAAGTTTTACTATACACTTAGACAGCTTGTGTTTGAATTTTCTTTCCCCTTATATTTCTCGTGTATATAAAATATCTTTTGTTTTAATTAAGGTGTGGTAATTGTGAAATGTTAAACAATATTAAAACAATGGGGTTCATGGCATGGGATGGTGTAGGACACAAGTCACACACAACCAGTCAAATAAACAACCGTCACAACGCCATTAGTTAAAGTCTCACTCCTATCATAGTTTATGACCTGGGAATCTGACCAATTATTCACACATGCACACTTACTCACACACACCACCAATTACATATTCCCATTTGTAAGTTTACAACTCCTTCCCTTTAAAAACTTGCCAACTTTCTCTGCATGCCCTATCTCTCTTTCTCTGTCTTTCTCTCTCTCTCTCTCTCCCCTCTCTCTCTCAACCAAAAGAAACCCAAAAGTTGGATTTTATACTCTCCACATGTTTGCTTAAAGATAAGCTGAAGGGAGACAAAGACAGCATTTTTTGGATCTACAGAAGCCATGTTCATCACAAGGAATCAAGTCATTGGCCTTCTTTTGATCTTCTTGGGCATCTCCGGCTTAAACGACAGCGGCGGCGTTTCCGGAGCTAGATGCTTAAACGAGAAGGTGGAAAATCTGGAGAAGCCTCAAGTTTTCAACTCCCCGTCAGATGATGAAGGTTTTTTTGCCACAATCAACAGACAAGTGCCTTCTTCTCCTGACCCATTGCACAATAGGTAGGTTGTTGAGAAAAAAAAAAACATAAATATGTCGCTTAGCAGTTAGCACTAGAAGCTAGCTAGCTGTACATAACCTACCTATATGGCATGAAAGGTTGGATTATAGAAAGAATTGGTTGCTTCTTTGTGACCGAGAGATCATAAGTTCGAGTTGTGGAAACAACCTCTTTGCAAAATAAAGGTAAGGCCGCGTATGATAAACGTTCTCCTGACTTTCTCAAAGCGGGGAGCTTGTTGGCTTGGGATCGCTCTATTTTTTGTTTTGGAACTTTAATGTATAACTAATGTCTGTTACAAAATCCAGAAAGTGCAGACATTTTTTTTTGTACTTTTAGAACTTTTATTTTATTTTATTTTTATACAATGTATTTTTGGAACCCCAACCCCACTTAATGGGAAAATGCTTTGTTGTTGTTGTTGTAATGTATTTTGGAACCCTAGATTTATAGGTTTATAAGAAATTATATGTTTTTGGCCTCTGGTAAATGTGAGTTTTATTACTGCAAATTAGAAAAGTATAAATATCATCTCGAGCATATAGCTTTGATCAGTTTTCGGCCATTGCAATGATTGCATACAAGGTTCGAATTTCAACCACTCGTCTTTTGTAGTTTTTCAAATCACGGTGACAATTTTTACGTGTAGCTGGAGAAATTTTTCTAGATACCGGTACACCAATTGAGCTGGTGTTCCTAACCAATAAAAGTTAGACACCTTATTACCTAGTTTTTTTAATAAGAAAACTAATGAAAAAAGTTTGAAAACTTTGAGTTTTAATGATAAGGACAAAATAAAGGGTAAAGTGAATAGTACCAGAATTGACTTTTAGTATAAAAATGTGGTTTTTCGTTAAAGTGAACAGTACCGGATGCTTTTCGTTAAAGTTCCCTTTTTTAATTAGGAAAATGTCAACTTAGTATACTTTTTTGTCAATCAGAATTCCTAATTTACCCTTAAGTGAAATAAAAATTAAAAATAATCACCCTCCCTCTCACAACACAACCCACCTCGCCGCCTAGAACTTACCCAACCACCACGCACCTCCATCAAAGTTGATATTTTCACCGGAGAAACCCCATCAAATTCTCTCGCTTCATACTTTTTCCTTTCTCCTCTTCCATTCTTAGCTTTACATGGTACCCAAGAATGATTGATGACAACTCCGACCTTCAGATCTACAGTCACTGATCTCCGATCGAAGCCTAGGAGTGTCGTTGACAATTTCTGAGATCCTTCTCCGGCGTAAGGGAGGAGTAGAATTAAAAATAGGAAGAGGAAGGGAAAAAGAGAGATAGGTGAGGGGGAGATGGGTGGGGTGGGGTGGAGGTCGAAGACCTAAAACGAGAATCTGGGTTTTGTGTTTTATTTAGAGCTTGTTTGGTACTCTACTTGAATCCAATTTTTTAAACTTAAAAACAATTTTCAAGTTTTAGGCCTTAGACCATCTCCAACCCTGGGCTAAAAGCCAAATTACCCCCCAAATTACCCCCCCAAACACTCTCCAACCCATGCTAAAATTTTAGGCTAAATGCCAATGCTATTTCTGGGCCAAATACCCCCCAGCTTTCCCCCCGGGCTAAATGCGAAATGTTTATCGGAATTTAAATTTTTTTAGATTAAAATGTTCATAAAATTAATTTACAATAATCTACATATTTATTTTTTTAAAAACAATTGATTTAAGAAAAAAATTTAGGCTAATTTCATTCTTTAATAATTCCGGGCTAAAATTTTAGGGTAGAAGGGTTGGAGCAGAAAAGATGTTTCTGGGCTAAAAGCTAAATTTTCCGGGCTAAAAAATTTGGCTTTTAGCCCAAGGGTTGGAGATGGTCTTAAGAACTTGTTTGGTAGGATAATTTTCAAAAACGGAATTCAAGACTAACTAAAAAGTATAGTATATTTTCTAAAAACATAAAAAGTTAATTTTTAAAGTCTTTAAACTTAAACTCACTTCTTTCTTTTCTCTCACTCTTCCCCTCTCACTCCAAATCTATCTCTCTCTCCTTTTTTTTTGTTAACCTTTTTCATCTCTCCTCTAATCAGCTATCTTTATTCTCTCGGTTCTTTCTCTCACTCTTCTTCCTCTCTATCTTGTTCGATCCCCTCTTTTTTTTCTCTTTCCTTCAATCATCTCTTACTTTCTTTCCTCATCTCTCCTCTTTCTCCCTCTCCTGCAACCCCATCTTTTTAGATCTCTTTGTCTAGTTTAAGTCGTAAGATTAAAAAATTTAAATCGCAAACCAATCAGGTTTTTGAGTTTTAAAGAAAATTGTTTTCAAGAAATGTTTTGAGAAATGATTAAAATTTTCAACAGGCCCTTAACTTTTTCTGTTTTTTATTTTTTTTTATAATTATTTTCTAAAAAGTTGAGTATTAGGGACTAATTAGGAAGATGGTAACTCAAGTGCCAACATGTAGCTATCTTGTGTACTCGGTACCTAGAAAAATTTCTCGTGTAGCTGGGATATCAACTTATTTTTTTATCTCACTTATCGCGTGACTTTTTCAATCACGTAAATCACGTGTAACATGAAGGATGAAAGTGGTTAAATCTTATTATACATCCTCAATTCCACTTAACAAAACTAACGATGGATTTGATGTTGAATACGGAAAAATATAGAAGCAACCCTACAAACACAGCAAATAGACAAGATCTGGGACATGGGAATCTCCCTGTCATTGTGGGCGAGAAAGATAAATCTAAAAGTTGATGCTTCAAAGTCGTCGCTTTTTGACTTCGAGAGCAAAGCAAGATTCCAAATACAGTAATTTCCACGATTTTAATCCTAATTACAAGATTCGACGTAAAAAATAGAGTGTCGACTATCAATTTTAATCCTAATCATGCAAAAATATTTCAATTTGTGGGCTCTGGATTATTTTGTTGCATATGAAAAGTTATTCGAGAAAGATAATAAAATTGACTAAAACAATATGATTATATTTGATATCGACAACATAATGTATAAAATGTGTTATTTTAATAAAAAAAAACTAATGAAGAAGGCTTGAAAACTTTGAGTTTAACGATAAAGACAAAATAAATGATAAAATGAATAGTATCATGATTGATTTTTTAGTGTAAAAATTTGGTTTTTCATTAAAATGAACAGTACCGAAAGATTTTCATTAAAGTTTTCTTTTAATAATTATATTATATAACCCAAATCGAGGGACCAACTCTTTTGGATAGCTCATGTGTTTCACACAGGACAAGTTTCCTCTTTCATGAAGGCTGAGTCAGCCTCCGTAAACTGAAAAGAAACAAGCCGAGTCGGCTCAACCCAACAGGATCCTCACCCGTTCCGTGAATTGTATCTGTTTATTGTACGTTGTACAGTCAATTTTCTTCAAGTATTGTTTGTGTTAAATTTTAAATAAAAAAATTTAAAGTAATTTCTAACTACGTGATGTACGATGAACAAACACGATTCACGAACCTCTGAAATCCACACAAAGATGATCGGGATTCGGCCTCACCTTCAATTCGTGGAGGAGCTGTGATGATTGGTCCATGTGTCAGCTTCACATTGGTGATTGGCCCATGTGTCAGTTTTACATTGGTGGTGACTTAAGCCTGCAACTAGCTTATAATCTAGGATTTGTGCAGTAGCTAAGGTTCGACGGGGTCTAACATTCTGATCACGAGTACTTTTGGTTTGAAGCTCCGGATTTTCTCCAATACATTGTATTAGAATGTAGAGTAATGCTAACGAGACTACATTTATAAATTAACATTGTAAACTAAATTATGTGTAACTAATAATTAGCACATTTATTACCGTTTAAGTAATAACCCAATCATCAACTTCCATGTCATTTAGTTTACAAAACTTAGTCTACAAATTTAATCGTCCTAACATTACTCTAGAATGTATCGCTCCTTAATGTTTCAATAAAGCGCTATCGTTCATCTAAAAAAATTGAAGCTTCATTAAGATTTCAAGATTTATCCCCATACAAAGCAAAATTTCCAATTTGTGAGCTCAAAACCAAGGGTTAAGGTAAAAAGTGACTGGAAAAGAAAGTTGATTTCATGTCATTTCAACATCATGGTCATTTTTTTTAACCCAAATCCCCGGACAAAGTTGAAGAACGGCTTTTCAAACACTTCGAGGATCGACGATGACCTGAATTCTTGACAACCCATCAAACGAACGGGGTGGTGAACCCTGCAGAAGAACAAATAGATTTCTTTCAGAAAGGGGACAATGTGAAAGCAGAATGTATGAACAATTTACCCTCCCAATGTTCGAAGTAAAACTCCGTAAATTAACTCGTGAAACAGTATGTAATTAAGGTTTCTTGCGCGTCAAGCATCCGCCTTATCAGACAGAACCATGCATATCAGAAATCAGAAGGTATACAAGCTCTAAGTATATTTAATTCGTTACATCAAGACATGGACTTTGGGTTTCAGAGTTTCTCAGAACAATCAGTAGACGGGTTTACGCACGCGATATATCCAGAAAGGTTGAAGAACTATAAAAATTATGAATTTTAGGCCTTCGATTTCTTCCCTTTGACTTCAGGGACCGGTTTCTCCTTGAACGGTAGGAACTCCTTTCCACCCATGAAAGGTTGAAGAACTTTTGGTACATTTACACCCTCTTCGGTCTGGTAGTTCTCGAGAATGCAGCACATGGTTCTCTCTGTCGCAGTAAGAGTTGAGTTCAATAAGTGAACATATTGCTTTGTCTGCTCGTTGCTCTGTAAAAGCACAAAGGCTCGAGTGAAAATAATATTTCAATAGGTAACAACAAAACCTTCTTAAGTTCAATAAACACCATATGAACAGAATATTTCCTAAATTTGATCAGAGCATACAGTTCAATGGTATATGACCTACGGTAAAAGTAAGTGGTTATCTTCTTTCTAATTAAATTGCTGAGGCTAATTAAATTGCTGAGGCACACATAATCAATCTTTATGTTAATTAGAAGTACAGTCTGCAGTAATCAGAAATATGTGATAAATGTCAGATTTAACCTACCTTTTTCTGCCCATATCGAATTTCTAACTTTCTTGACTGGTAGTCCGTACAGTTTGAACAAGAAACCAGCTCTCTATATGTCTGAGATGCAGGAAACCATCCTTCCAGATCATACTTCTTTGCTGCGGCATCATTCAAAGCACCAGAAACGATGGACACAATATGATAGGGGAGCCCTAACTGCAAGTGACAAAATTCAAAATATCATACTCAGAAATAACACTATTGATGAAATTGAGGTTTCACCATAAAACCAATTGGCAATATGGGGAGTAGCCCATGACCATATAAGCACATAGCAAATCTTGTCCCTCACCGATGTGGGACAACTCTTCCTCACATTTCAACTCTCAACAACTACTAAACAGAAGATTTTCATCTACATTAATCAGATCCATAAAAAGGCATCCAACTTTGGTTTACAATAAGCAGGTGTATCTGCATCAATCTCTCAACCAATACAGTGACAACCATGCAATTCAAATATTTTCCTCCCAAAAGTAGAATAAACGTAAACTTAAACATGGGGTATGTGCTACAGATGCCATTTGGCATTCCAAAGTCACCCAGTCACTAAATCGTCGTTCCCAAACTTGATCAAAAAGCAAAAGTATGAAAAGGAAATAAGTTCTCAAGGGAAAAAGCTGTACCGCTTGATAAAATTCCTCAGAGTTTTTTATCATTTCCTCGTGCATTTCCCAAGAATCATTGCCATTTGGGGTTGTAATACAGAACTGTTCAACTTTCTCAAACTGATGAACCCTAAAAATTCCCAAGGTATCTCGACCGTGTGAACCAGCTTCTTTACGAAAACAAGATGAATATCCCGCATATCTGAGAAAAAAAACCAAAAAATTAATGAATGGAATACAAATATCATCTTTTATACATAAATTTTCCAACAAAATGTTACTACCTTAAGGGTAGCTGGGATGGATGGATCCAATCATCTATATGATATGCACAAAGTGGCTGTTCAGATGTAGCAATCAGATATTTGTCATCACCTTCACCGGTAACCTGTTCTACAAAAATAAATTAAAGTCATCCTCACGTTAAGCAAACCAAATGTAGGAAATATGATTTCAATGGATCATTAAAAATTTAGAATGAAAAACATCCACAATACGAACCAATTCTAGTATCTTGACAAGTTAACACAAAACAAGGCCCATATATTTGTAAGTTAAAATTTCACAATTACAACAAAAAGCTTGGGTGCCAACTCTATATGGCCCTATAAAACAAAAACTATTGGCAAATATTACCAAAAGCTACCTTGTAAAGTTCCTCATCAAATTGTGCTAATTGAGCACATTTTCCCATGATATCTTTTCTCATGAAAAATGGGGTATGCAGTTCTGTATATCCCCTTTTCTCAAGAAAATCAAGACCAAAGTTTATCAGAGCTTGATTAAGGCGTACACCAACACCTTTCAGGTAAAAACCTCTACCTCCTGCCACTTCAGCGCCTATACATTTTAAGCAGATTGAGTTAAAAACAGGCTAGTGCGGAACTAGGCGAATCTAGAGATTATACATGTCATAAGAAGTAAAAATGCAATATCATCCATAACTTTCCAATTCTTTCAAACCCTATAGACCCAGAAAGAGAGAGAACTCAATACCTTTCTTCAAGTCTGCGATCCCAAGAAGCTCAACAAGTTCAACATGGTTTTTGAGTTTTGGCTCCACTCGTTTGTCACCCCATGATCTAATCACAGCATTATTTTCCTAAAATACATAAAAACACCACATATAAAAATAAGAATTACATAGACCCATAGCAAAAGAAAAATCAATGTACCCAACATTACCTCATCATTGCTAAAGGGAACTGAATCATGCACAAGGTTTCCAATGATGTCCAGTTTTGAATTCAACTGTGTTAAAGCTTCTCGCACTTCAACTTCTTTCTCTGCTGCCAACCTTTTATTTTCCTCTGTGTCTTTAATCACCTCAGTTGCATCCTCTCCTGCCTTTTAATCCAGAAATTTTTTAACATCCAGTCCATAGATAACATAACCAATGTATTAGAATAGAAACATACATACTTAAAGAAAACAAACTCAGTCAAACTGCACTGGATGGCCCTATAAGAATCCGTTCTTATTTTTAAGAGAAAGCGGGATTAAAAAAAATCTTATTCAATGTTTTAATGACCTAGGTTTCTAGAATCGGGATAACATTCTCAATCAAATTTCCACACACATTCTAATATCTGTATATGCAAAGGGGCCTGCTTTACAATCATATGCTTACAAGTTCAGTAGTAGCCACAATAATATAAACACTCAATTAAGCATCAAAATCACCACCGCAATTCCATGCCACCACCCCGACCCTCGTTAAGCAATTTCCTCATCCATTACAAAATCAATGGAACTTATTTTTCAAAGTCAGTGATCTGAGAACAAATTCTCAAAGTTCTACAATATTCACTAGCAACATGAAATCAAGGCAATCAAAACCTAGTGGGAAAATCTACTAAAACTGACCTAACTTATGGTGCCAAGACAATTATTATCATTTGATAATTGTTTCGCAAATACGAGTTTCATAAGTTGTTCTGAGTTTCTAAACACATGTACAGTCCAAAAATTCAGGATTTAATAACCTTAAGGATGTATTTTCGGAAAACAACCGATCATCAAGATAACATTCAAATAGGAAAAAAAAAATACTCACAATCCTCAGCTGAGCAACTCGCTTGTTGATCTTGTTGAACTCTTTCCGAAGGCTCTCGAGCTCGAATTGACCTAAAAATTCATCATTTCACCACGAAAATCAATACTTTAATCGTAATTAATTAATTCAAAATAAATCTCAAAGCTCATGAAAAACTCAAGCTTTTAAATAGAGAAATGGATTGAGAGAGATGGGGGATTACGCTGTCGCCATTCTTTGTCGAGCTGGATGACCTCGTCGACGATCTCGACGCCTTTGAAACGTCGTCGTTGAGATTCCCGGATTATTTCGGGGTTGTGGCCCTTCTCCTCTCTGAACAGATTGATGTCCAGCATCTTTCTCTTCTTCCGACTGCGGATTGAAGTTTGGAATCCGAAAAAGTTGGATGCTTGCTGAAGAACAACGCACAAGTAACGCTAATCCTTACTGAGTGAGAGTGATCCCCAAAACCCTACTTGTATTTTATTTGATTTTCCCTATTTAGGGTCGATGATTTGGATTTCCGCCCCGATTTCCCATGGCCATATCTTCGACCCGATTTTTATCGGCCTCACTTTATTTTATTTTATTTTGTTTTTTATTAGGTCTGTTTGGAGATTTTATTCACTAAGGTCATCTCCAAACGATTCGATCAAAGGGTTATAGAGCTAAAAATAGTTCGGAATGACAAGAAAATCATCTCCAACCGGGGATTAGGTCAAAAGACTTGTGGGCCCGGGCTGACCATTTTCAGCCAGCCTTTCAGCCCAGCCCTCTAACGCCAGAATGTCAAGCTTGACATTTGGCCCGCCCTCCAGCGCCAAAATGTCAAACTTGACAGTTTGCCAGCGTTTCAACTCATCCCATTTGAATGCCAACAAGTACCTGGTGTTAGTATGACGCCAACTAGCAACGACTAGCTAACGTCATGCTGTCATCAGGTTACCATTGTAATTTGAATTTTTTTTTTTTGAATGAATTTAAAAATAAAAAATCTATTTTTTTTTTCTATAAATACCTACACCATTCCTACAACATTGAAAGTTGAAGATAAAAAGTGCCACGTAGATAAGAATTATATCTAAAATTTGCACAACCACTTACATCTCGACTGGCACTCGAAATCCTATCTGAAAAATTATTAAGATTACATAAAAATAAGAAATATGGAGAGTTACTTACTTTAACTACACGTGTCACTCGAAATCCTATCCAAAAAATTATTGAGATTACATAAATATAAGAAATCTTTAGAGTTATTCACGTTAGCGACACGTGTTACTCGAAATCATATCAAAAAAATTATTGAGATTTGGCGACAAGTGACACTTAAAATATGTTCGAAAACCTTATTTTTAGATTGTAGTTTAATTTAATTAACCATATTAATTTAATTAAAATAATAAATTATGTTTGGCCTATGACCCTTTGGTCATTTGGAGATGGTTTTTTGTCAAAGAGTTATGTTTGGCCTATAACTCTTTGGCCTCCTCGGTTGAAGATGATATAAAATAAGGAAAACTAATAAAAAAAAACTTGAAAACTTTGAGTTTTAATGATAATGACAAAATAAAGGGTAAAGTGAATAGTACCAAGTTTGACTTTTTAGTGTAAAAATGTGGTTTTTCGTTAAAATTAACAGTACCGTGGGTTTTTCGTTAAAACTCCTTATAAAATATAGGAAAACTAATGAAAATAGCTTGAAAACTTTGAGTTTTAATGATAAGGATAAAATAAAGGGTAAAGTGAATAGTAACATGTTTGACTTTTTAGTGTATAAATATGATTTTTTGTTAAAGTTAACAGTATCGTGGACTTTTCGTTTAAACTCCCATAAAATATGGCATATCACTGCTCATTAAAAATATAATTTCTTATAAAGCTATAGGGCTAAAGGGAAACCTTTGGCCCTCCTTCGATTAGAGATTGCCTAATGGTTGAAAGTATTTTCCTTTAATACATACGATATTATCGAGATTAACAAGTAGGGAGCATGATTATTATCTGCTAGTTATAGTATCACCCAAAATGGTGGCCGGCCAAGTCAAAGTTTGGGTCACAAACGGGCTAAGTTTACCCGATCGCTCTAATTGGGTCTGATTTGGGAAGAACTTTTCATTTTAGTGTTTTTGATTTTTGAGGTTAGACTTATAGTTATAGTAACTTTTAGTCAAAATGATGACAATACCCTCAAAATTTAAACGTTTCTAAATTCTTTGTTCTAACTCTGAATTGGGTGTCATTTGTGCCAACGAGCTTGTGGGATTGAGATCTATCCATACATTCTACCCTCACCTCCAAACACCAACTAAAATTCAAAATGACCAAAATAGATTTTAAATCTTTTTTTTTTCTTTCTCAAAACTGTCAAATATATCACATATTCTTGATTATCTTGGTACATATGTTGTTGAAAAACATTATCTTTACAAAACTGATGAGTTTTATAATGAACACATCCTTTGGTGATGGTTGGTCGCCTCCATTGTTCATAACAAAATTGAGAGACATATTTTGTTGAAGATTCCCATGTTGTCTGAGTAATTTGTGAAATGTCAACCACGAGATATGATATGTTGATTTAAAAGGAAACTAGGTCAAGCCTCAATACTCGCACAAAACTACCTTCTACCACTTTCAAGAATTCGTTCCGCCCGTTGATGAGCTCGTAAATGGAGACTATAATTATCAGTTGGACTTGAATCATATAAGAGAGGTAAGGTGGTCAAGTTTAACGACATGCATTTGGAGATGTAGGTGGTTTATTTCGTTTGTAAAATGAGCGCAAATTTTTTTTAGTTTCCCTCAATATCTCAGTGTGGATCTCAATGCGGGTTGGAATAAAGAGTAGTTCAATTCAAATGAGGGGTATCACTCCGGTGATTGCGAATACGATTGTTGCTCATGCAATCATGGCCGCTAAAACTTACCTCTCAACTTCTTTATCTCTTTTCTAAACGCATGTTTCGTTTTCATTTTTCTCATACGAAAGTAAATACAACATCATGCATATGGTATGCTGTTAACACGAAATAATTTTCACATTATGTAGCAAGTCATGCATGATTAAAGCCAATTCAAATCTCCTGCTTCGCAATTTAGACTAGTTTAAGGCAAAATAACGCTGGTATAAAAGATGGAGGAATTTGAATTTAGAAATTTCTTAAAAGTTTCACTAGAAATTGTTATCACTCTGTATGCAATAACCCACCTTTCACCAAGGAAACTCTACACAAACCGGCGACTTTAGGCCTTTTTCGATTTCTCGATTCCCTTCCCTTTGGCTTGAGATTGAGGGGAAGTTTGTTCTTGAAAAGGAGGAATGTGTTTCCATGCATGTACGGCTGTAAAAGTTTTGGTATCTCCACACCATCTTCCCTTTGGTAGTCCTGGAGCATGCAGCAAATAGTTCTCTGTATGTCTGAGATGTCGGAAAACATCCTTCTAGATCGTACTTCTTCTCCGCGGCATCATTCCAGAGCACCCGAAACCATGGACACAGTTTGGTAGGGGATATTTATCTGAACATCACAAAATTCGGGTTAAACAAGCTTAGAAAAAGTCACTTGGTCACTAATCATATGTTTCCAACCACAGTGATCTTTCAAGAAATGCTACGGTAAATAAATCGTATAAAAACATATTGTTTTGGTTCAATTTAACTAGAGTAAATCTGTTGCATAACAAAGAGAATTCGGTAAATACTGCAGTAACCGCACATTATCAACAACATTACATTGTACTAAATCGTAGACGTATAAATCCTGACTGCACAACAGACTCAGTTGTAAAACTAAATTACAAAACTATCAATCTGCCATGTCATTGATCCTACACTACGTACCCTACTCCCAGCCGTTGGTATGCTAGATGAACATCGTCGTATGAATGCTCATGTGATACTTCATTATTATGATTTCGAGAAAGACATCCGGTTACTAAGTGGCCGTGTATTGCATCCACAGAGGGAGGATCAGTTTGTACATCAATCGAAATGAAAACGAGAAACATAGACAAAGCCTTTCTCCATGATCATCCAAAGTGTGGGATATAGGTTTTGTTATCGAACAGAAAAACAGGTGGAAAGATCGCAGTTCTGTCTACCAATCCTTGTACTCTTTAATTTCCGGAGGACCGAACGAAATGGTGATTTCCATAGAGTGAATTTAGTGCGAGCGGCTTTCACAGGAACCTGTTCGACAGTGACCAGATGTGTGACAGGCGTTGCTACTGGAGGCTGTGGTTCATCTGAAATGTTGGACAAGAGCGGATGCAGACTCTCAACATATTCAGTCACATTCACACTCGAGTTAATCCCGAAGAGCGTATATTGCCCGCTAAAAACCACATCCTTGTCAAGATTGTCTTCTTTTTTTATCAAACCATGTAAACTCCATGTACTCGAAATTGCATTCCTGCACCCGAAGAGCTCCCGGGTAATGTGGGAGGGGGCTTCAATCCTTTTCCAAGAGCAAGCTCTCGACGAAAAGACCTCAACCGGGTCTTCGGTTCCATCCTCATTCAATTCAGCAGCCACAACAACTTTGTTTTCTGCTCACACGCTACTTTGAGCTGGGATTTAGCCAACTCGGGATCATAGATGATTGTATAACACCACCGTTTTGATACGCAGCTGAAGCGGATTAAGGATTTGACCGGCAATCTGGAGAGAATGTTTACCTTCAGAGTGCTTCTTCACCATTGCCCTCTGGTGCAGGAGAGCAAGCTTTAGCACCAAATGTGGGTGGAGGTTAGAACATTTCCGACAAGATAGTCAAATTCTCCAATCATTTCGCTTTGGAATAATCTTATGTCACGTGTTTTAGGTAGTCAAATTCTCCAATCATTTCGCTTTGGAATAATCTTATGTCACGTGTTTTAGGTTTTTTGCATGACCCTGGTTGGTTTATAAATTTTCTGCGTAACATTGTTTGGTTATTTTTAAGTTTTAGTTTAAAATACGGCAAGTTCTTATGTACGACTGGTTGCATTTGACGCTTTTTCTTTCACGATGGTGAGGTAGTAGTAATTACTTTATAGGTTTATTTAGTTACCTTTTGGAATTGACTTTTAGTCTCATTTTATCCCTTTAAACATAATTTATCTCTCATATTCTACTGAAATTGTCAAATCGAGTCCCCTCACCCTATTTCTGTCAATTGTACCTCATGAAAATTAAATGAAAAGACAGTTTGGACATTTCGTACCATGCTGGCAGAGATGAGCTAACGTGGACGTTAATGAAGTGAAATGGCACAATATTGACAGATTCAGCTAACAAAATGAGACTAAATGGTAATTTCGTAGGACAAATCAATAAACAAGCCTCGCTTTATATTGGGGATCGATTTGTGTGTGCATAAGGCCTACTCTTCGAGCCTTAAAAAATTTGTTATGTGGTGTTACAGTTTTCACTCATGCATCTGTGTTTATTTATTAATTATATATTATAAGTTAAGGACGTATCAACCTTGTAGCTCATCCATGTTATAAACACAATACAAAGTATATAACCTTGTAGCTCATCCATGTTATAAACACAAGAAAAGGATC